AGGAGCATTGTTGGATATGGGCTGCTAACCAAGGGACGGTATTGATGTGGGGCAACTGAAAGGTTTTGGCAAGCTAGTGGCAGAGTGGTTGCTGACGTCATGGGTGGAACAAGTTGTGAATATAGTTGTGTAGAGACTGGGGTGGTGGGAAGCGGGTATGGTGAAGGTTGTGGCCGTTGTCCCACATAGTTCACCGTCCTAGCAAGATTGAAGATCACAGACTGATTCGATATCAGAGCTTCTGGCTCTTCTTTGTCACTCTCTGCACCAAAAAGATTATCAATTGAGGGAAGCGACCAGGCTACCAGGTTGGGCAAAATCGTTGCCGCTGTGTTGGATGCCATAAAAACAGAATCCAGGGTCTGTACTGCTTAGTAACGGTGATATAATCACTTCCTTACATACGGTTTGAACATCACTTTCACCTGATGACCCACTGGTCTCCACTACCAGTGTACTATGCCGCATCAGACGATCAGTTTGAAATTGGAAGTAAACAAACACTAAATGGTTACCTGGAACTCGAAGCTTCAGCAGAGACTCCTGGACAGGATGCTAGGTGAACAGAGTCAGTATATACATGAGCTATCCCACTTGACATGCCTTCTGCCATCCGCTTCCACAAGGTATTGTACTGCTCATCCACAACTTGATTCAGAGCCCTCTTGACAATATTTTCAGGGGAAGCAGTCACTTACCAAAGAGGTCAAGGTTGAGCTGTTCGACCACTCGCACCATGGGTGCAGTTTTCCAGAACTAGTGAATGAGCTTTCGGTATTGATCGAAGTCAAACTCCCAGTTCATCTTGCTATTCCTTCCTTGAGGAGAGAACTATCCCTATAGTCAAAATCCTCGTTAGTAGATCCAGGCTTATAAAAGTGAAATATCGTACTGCTCCTCTAAATCTTGAGTAATTATCAAGAAGATTGGCACTATATCCTGTCGTATGCCATCCGCACAGTCCACAGAGTACCCGTCCTTTGATGTGCGTTGAAAAGGTTTGAGGATTCTCTTCAAAGTTTTGTGAAGGACTGTTTGAACGAATCCTGGCCAGTTTGGATTGTGGGTTTCACCTTCTGGTGCTTTGATCTGCATTTATCAGTAAAACCACATCAAAGGTAACATATTCGAACCTTTGGTAAGAATCCAATCATTGTATTCCCAGCATAGGTGCTGTTTTTGTTGCTGAGATGTTTGGGGAGACTGGCAAGTCGTGTCAGAACCGGCCAGACTGAGAGGGATGCGAACTGCGCAACGTCAGACTTGTTGGAGTACAGGATAAGAGGTACTTGGACCTGTCGTGTCCCTTTGTCCAGTTGTCCCTGCGATGAAAGCATCAGATGAAACAAAAGGTATGTGGTCACAGACCTCAATTTCCCAAGCAGCATCTCCACTCAACGGCTCATCGTTCACACACTCTGGCTGCTTTCCTGGAATGCATAGGTACTTTTGGGGTCCAAACCAGGTCCATTGCTCCTTTAATGCTGGATCACGGAACAGCTCTCACATCCAAGCCATTCCATTCTTGACCCAGACGCTATACTTGAGCTGGATACTTGTTCCATTAGACCTCCTAAACGAAAACTCAAAGTTTTCGCGCTTGAACTGTCATTGATCAGTAGAGCCTATGATAGAGGACGGTCCATACTTTTTCATACCCATTGGCCACTTTATCAAGACACGAGAGTAACTGCTTGCCATTCTTGAAGCTAATCTTGCAGCCTTCAGCAAATTTGCCATTATGCATATCCTTCAAGAGCCAAGAGATGCTTGCCTTCGAGCGCCTATCACCATCTTGCGAGAGATTGGGGATCAGATCCTTGAGCATGTGAGCTGCCACCTGCACCATGTCCTAAAGAGTGTAGACAAGATCTGTGAAAATGATTAACGGTTCTGTTGAGCTGGGTGCTCCACCTACAACTGACTGTGTGTCTGGTGTGTGTGATTGGGCTGCTGTATGGTGTGATGCGACTGTCAAGGAGCCAGGTGCTCTTGTGGAGGAAGTGTTATTGAGAGGAGATAAATCCCTTGTTTGAGAGGGTGTCATTGTGGAGCAAACTCGAGGCAAACTCGAGATTTGGATGGCTCCAAGAAGGAGTGAGCAGCCTGTGGCATCGTTA